AGCAAAGTGTCATTTCTTCAGTGTTGTCACATGAAAAGATAGAATAAAATATTTACAAAAATGTGAGGGGTAGACTCACTTCTGTGAGATACTGTATATGTAAAACACTTTAAACTTTTTTTTAAAAATAATAATAAAATCATAGCTACAACATAGGGACTGTTTTGTAATACAATGTACATATCCATGCAGTTCAGGGCTTGGACAATGGCTGTAGGCTTTATCATACTGCAAGCATCTCAGTTTGCAAATTTACAGGAAGTGTATTTGCATGTTTTATGACTTTAGGCTGTTCATATAATTTATTAATTGTCGAAATAGAAAGTTCCAAAATTTGTAATTAAAAAAAAATACAAACAGGATTGCTCATGAATGGTTTTCTCAAAAAGTTTAACACTGATACATTTTGTAACCAAAAGATGTATCAGTCATCAAAGTGTGTTACTCAATAATTGAAGCAAATAAGGAAACTGTACAAACCTACCTGGGATGAAAAACTTGTTTTGGCTTCAATTCACGTAATTCTTTTTCCCAAAATGTTTACATGACTCTACAGCTGTTTAAGGTACAGTTCTGGCAAACATTAAGTACACAGTGGGAATGCAAAATTGTCTTGCCTGTCAAAGCAATTATAATTGTAGCAGATATAGGCAGCCAACAACCTGAAACATCCAAATGCATAAATCTTTATTTGCTACGTGGTGATTATGGAATAAAACAGTTTATGTGTTTTGGCCAAACGACCTTTGTCATAACAATGCTATGACTAAGGCTGCTTGGCCAAAATGCGTAAACTGTTTTTTCCTGTAGTCACCATGTAACAAATAAAGATTTATGCATTTGGATGTTTCCGGTTATCAGCTGCCTATCTCCGCTACTACTTTGCATGAGTGATTGGAAGACATTCAGTGCCTGATCACTGATTTCTCAAATCCTTGCTAGGACCTATTGGAACTTGGGTTGAGCGCTGCTTTTTGTTCATTACAAGTCAATTAGAATTGTGTTCAGTCTCTGTTGTTCACACAGCTCTGTTACACTGCACTTTCATTTCACTTTTCTAGAGTCTGTAGCTTCCTGTTTCACCTCCACATCTTCAGTTTGCTTATTAAAATATACTTACATAACTATGATGGGGATGGGTAGCATATATAGATATAACGTCCTATCAAATATATATGGTCTGAATGTTTGGAAGTGGACTTTATCGGTGCCCAAGGATTCAATAAAGAAAATTATTAAAAATATTACAAAGTTTATTATTATTACAGGTACTTATTTAGCGCCATCAATTTATGCAGCACTTTACATAAGTATTGTACATTCAATACATATTGGAATTACTACATTAGATATGTTGGTTTAAAAGGGGTGTATATCTGACTCAGCAAACCCTCTTGGCATTCCATATGTATAGATATAAACAGCTCTTTTCAATATAGAATCAAGTTACATCATCATAGGATTCTCAGCCACAAACTGAAGTCCTGTATCTTTATTAGCATATCAAAGGGGCTGTGTGGGGAGAAAAGCAACAAACCTGAAACTGTGTAACAACAAAACTCATAAATACTATATTGGTCAAAAATATACATTTAGGCATATTGTTAATCAGCATTTATGACTTTTGTTGTTATACAATTACAGGTTTATTATTCTCTCCCTCTCTCCCACAGAATCGGGCTGTGTCCTGTGAAACGCGTTGAGAAACACAGCCCCTTGCATATTCCAATACAGATACAGGGCCTCAATTTTGAATGTAATAATTTTTTATAATTTTGTTTTTTGAATCCTTGGACACCCATTAAGTCTACATCCAAAAATTCAAATCCTATATTTACTATTAGCTACCTATACACCTTCCTCTCTAGGTCTAAATGCCTATAACTATTGGAAAGGAAAAAAAAACAGCATAATAATTGTTAAGCAATGTTATTTTCAAATGTTACATTTTTGGTTTCACAATGATTTTGTTGCTATTGCCACACATATTTTCACACATTTAATGCCCCTAAATTCTATTTTAGAGATACTGGTATTCAACCACTGCACCCACCTGAGACACTTTAATGTGCCAAACAACAAGAGTGAATTAGGTCGAATCTGGGCACCATAATGTGCTTAGATTTTACCTCTTTCTATACATGTATATAATAAATTTATATCCTTTAGCTTGGGTTCACATATATACGTTGCGGTATATCGCCTGTGGTTCGCACAAGAACCGCACCGCATTCCTGTGCAAATCATATTCGATTTGTGTGCTGTGCGATTGGAGCCATACATTTAGTATGGCTCTAAATGCACCGCACCCACACCAAAAACCTGCAGGACCCTTTTTTTGGTCCGCACTAGAATCGGATCGCATGGGTATTCACACCTATGCAATCCGATTCTGCACATCGCACCGCGTTTTGTGGACCGCTTCTGGGGTGTTGTTAACTTAACATACATACCCGCAGCGGTTCACATGAACAGGGTGCGATTCTGATGTGGTGCAGAATTCACACAGAAAACGCTGCGAATTCTGCACCGCATCAGAATGAACCAGGGCTTAATGGTTTCTATACTCTTGGTATTATTTCATTCTGTTTTTGAATTCCTTCCAGGTTATTTTAATAATGTGGTCCACTATAAGGCTATGATAGTACATTTTAAAACTACAATCTATATCTCTTTTTCCTAGGATACCAGAAAAGCAAGAGAACTTTCTTTCAAAGCAGGATGACTCATCTTTCTTGAAGTGATGAATAGCTGTTGATGCAGATGAAAAATAAAGTCCAATTTAACCAGATAACAACCTAAAAAAGTCACCTACAGCGCTTCCTTCCTGCTGCCCTTCTCCATCTAGTCAAATTGTTGCAGCCAGCTGTCAAAAGAACCAACTCTGGGTCTCAGGAGTGTTAACAGAGGCTTCTGTAAAAACCAAGCTTGAAAACAGTGAAGATTTTATTCATAAATAAATTTTGTCAAGTTATTTAAAACATATTTTTACATTTCTTCAGTAATTATAAAAAAGTAATATTTATGTATATAAATATTGTTTGCATTTAGCTTTTATCAACATTTGGTTAATTTTCTGAAATAATTTTATTCATACTCCTATTTTTTTTTCAAACCACTGTTTATAAACTTTTTGTTTTCATTTTACTTGTTAGGTTTTTTTTCCCTTTTTCTTATGTGTCCCCCACACTGGGGAAGCTATCTTTATCTATTTGTTGTGGTGACCATTGCTATTGGGGCAGAAAGTGAAAACCAAAAGGTTTTAGTTGCCACTGAAACAAGAATAAAGGGCAAATCTTCCAATGGGACACATGTTCAGGTGACAACTGTTTAATAGAGAACTGCTCCCCACTTTGCAAACATTCCCACTCCATTCCTGACGGGTTTCAAATATTCTCTTGTCTATTGAAAACTGAAAAACAGACTCTGAACAGAACATGTACATTCTTTAATTTAATGTATAAAGAGGACTTAGCTCAGGCAAGAAAACTTCCATGGATTTACCTATGGCACAGGTAAGGGGGCTTCTTCAGTTTGCTTCTATGGTCCTATTTAGCAAGGACAAAAAGAGAATGGAACCAACGAGGTAGAACCTAGATTTACTGATATGAGGTCCTATGGGAGCTTTGGTAGAAGAGTTCAGCCCGGGTGCAATAGTCAAGAAAATAAAAAAAAGTTTGGGCTCAAGATATATGTATTTATTATACCTTTGAATATACACAGTATGATAAATTTGATTATGTGAATGCCTGCGATTTTAAATTATGAGACTTGGAACCCAACTGCAAAGCCATGCAAGCCAAGAAAAAAAATAGCATTCTTTTTAAGTCTTGACCATAAAAACTTGACTATAAAGAGAAAGAAAAGAAAAAATATATATAACCACTAAGCATTCCTATTGTAACATATACCATTGCCCTATTTTTGAGTCCACTAAATATTCAGTTTATTCCTGCATTGGTTCCCTTCACAGTGATCTACTGACAAAGCTCATATTTTATCTCATATAGTTCAAACTAAATTCAAATGGTGTTTTTATATAAGGCTCACATAGAATATCTGACCCTTGGCATGCAGTGCTGATATTGCTTTTTCACAAATCCATTATAAAAATACATCTGCTTAGCACAGGATACCAGAACACCTTATCATAGGAAGTACATTATCCTTTGCATAATGCTGGAAATATTTCTTGCAGGATACTAATAGGAAGTGAATGACATTCCTGACAATCTTAACCTAAGGAAGAGAAAAATGTGAAAAAAAGACAAAAAACAATAATCTTTTGACATTTTCCCTTTGTTTCCAGACACAGCTTAGTGTTGAAGCCCTGTGCTGTCGGCCGGCCTGTCTATTTTGGCAGTGCTCACGCTGACTGGTGTTTGTCTATTGTTACTCAGTGACGCAAAAGCAGCGATCGAATGAATCTAGAGGACAGGAGGAGAGAAATACTGGCATACAAAATCACAAGATGGAAGGAGACAGAAGATAAGGGAAATATACAGTCTGCATTTAAGATCCTTGTGTTAGAAAATATGTCTCTGCTAGTAATTAAAGGGAATCTTTAGCTTTTTTCATTTCTGTTTTTTCTTTTGCTACAGATAAGAAGGGACCATGATTAATTTGTTGTCAATAATTATATCTATTGATCTAAATGTATTCAATAAAAACAAACCAATTACATTCCACCGCGTACTGCCATGGTTGTAAAATGTATTTTTTCATTTGTTCAATGAATAAAGCAGAATGTGTAGAAGGGAAAAAATATGCAACGCATACTCCTGAAGGAGCTGCAGTTTCACGGGTCCCTATGCCCACAATGCTGCAAGTAGCACCACACACGCTAACACACCCAGGCTGAATTGTGGGGGATATATATATATACTGTTTATAAATACACACTATATTGCCAAAAGTATTGGGACACCCCTCCAAATCATTGGATTCAGGTGTTCCAATCACCTCCATGGCCACAGGTGTATAAAATCAACCACCTAGGCATGCAGACTGCTTCTACAAACATTTGTGAAAGAATGGGTCGCTCTTAGGAGTTCAGTGAATTCAAGTGTGGTACCATGACAGGTTGCCACCTGTGCAATAAGTCCATCTGTGAAATTTCCTTGTTACTAAATAATCCACAGTCATCTGTTAGTGGTATTATAACAAAGTGGAAGCAACTGGGAACAACAGCAACTCAGCCAACAAGTGGTAGGCCAGGTGAAATGACAGAGCGGGGCCAGCGCATGATAAAGTGCACAGTGCGCAGAAGTCAGCAACTGTTGAGTCAATAGCTAAAGACCTCCAAACTTGGTGTGGTCTTCAGATTAGCACAACAGCAGTGCATAGAGAGCTTCATGGAATCAGTTTCCATAGCCAAGCAGCTGCATCTAAGCCTTACATCATCAAGTGCAATGCAAAGTGGTGGAGGAAGGATTATGGTGTGGGGTTGTTTTTCAGGGGTTGAGCTTGACCCCTTAGTTCCAGTGAAGGGAACTCTTAAGGTGTCAGCATACCAAGACATTTTGGACAATTTCATACTCCCAACTTTGTGGGAACAGTTTGGGGATTGCCCTCTCCTGTTCCAACATGACTGTGACCAGTGCATAAAGCAAGGTCCGTAAAGACATGAATGAGCGAGATTGGGGTGGAGGAACTTGACTGGCCTCCACAGAATCCTGACCTCAACCCGATAGAACACCTTTGGGATGAATTAGAGCAGAGATTGTGAGCCAGGCCTTCTCATCCGCCATCAGTGCGTGACCTCACAAATGTACTTCTGGAAGAATGGTCAAACATTCCCATAGAAACACTCCTGAACCTTGTGGACAGCCTTCCCAGAAGACTTCAAGCTGTTATAGCTGCAAAGGGTGGGTCAACTCAATATCGAACCCTACGGACTAAGACTGGGATGCCATTAGTGTTCATGTGTGTATAAAGGCAGGTGTCCCAATACTTTTTGCAATATAGTGTATATATACAGTGTGTGTGTAAATATATATATATATATATATCACCCTAATAGCCAAAGGAATAGAAATATCAGTAATTGCACAACAAATACGTAAAACAGTGGCAAAGAAAATATACTGTTAATAGTGAACAAATGATAAACTGGGACTGTTGTGGAGGGCCAGTCCTAATTCTGTTTAATATTAATTTTGGACCTGGGAACCTATAGAAAACAAACACCAGGCACTAGAAATAATAGGTACAACTGCTCATGAAACAGGTCTCTTTCAGATGGATGGTCAGGGGGTGGTAAGAAATAGGCAGCTGAGACACTGTATTACCTGCCACCTTGCCTCCCTACCCAAACTGTAAAATAACAGCAGAATGGGGCTATTCATATGCTATTCATTTTGTGTTGTTATTATTATACAGGATTTATATAGCGCCAACAGTTTGCGCAGCGCTTTATAAAATGAAGGTAGACGTTACAGTTACAATACAATTTTGGTACAAGAGGAAACCAAGGGCCTTGATCCTTAGAGCTTACAATCTATGAAGTGTATATGTTTATGCTGTGAGATAGAATCATGGAAGATTTAAAGAGCCTTTTAGGGCAAAGTAAGAGACTGAGCTGATATCCCACCACCTTTTGTTACTAATTCCTACCTTTTACCTACTTTTACCTACTCCCCGCTGCCCGCCCAGGTCATCCTCCTGAGTCTTATGTATGTTGCTATCAACAACTGCCTGGCGGTACCTCTAGCAGTCCACATGACAGGATTCCCCAGAGCGCGGAGTCTACGCCCCAGTCTGCTTGTTCACCAGGGCCCCTGATGGTGGGGATGGACTTGAAGCAGACAGAGACCAGGTCGTGGCCCCTGAGTACACCTGCCTGTGGAAGAGGGATCCGCCAGAGGTATATGCAGGTAGAGAGCCTGACGTGAAGAGGCGGAAGGCTGGTGCAGGAATGGCTGGATCCATGCAGAATGGATGGATCCGTGCAAGATGGATGGATGGATGGCAGAGTAGTGAGCGTGGTCAAACGGGCCAGGTTGGTAACAGTGGAGTCAGCCACAAGGCAGCAGGCAGAAGAGTAGTCAGGTCACTCGCCGGGGTCAGTAACAGGAGTTCAGGTCAGATTATGGATATCCAGGAGAGAGGTCAAACGAGCCAGGGGGTGAGAGCAGGAGAAGTCAGCAGAGGTCAGGAGCAGGGTCAGCAACAAATCACAATAGCAGGTATACAGGAACACAGGATAAATAGACCATACGGCAATGAGAGTCTGTGCAGGGCAGGTTTAAATAGTGCGCCCTGCCCTGTCATTGGTGCCAGGTGAGCGTACGCGATCGCGAGTGCGCATGTGCGGCCGCTGCTGCTGGCCCAGGTCCTAGTGCCCACCGACTTGTATGGATCGGCGTTCTGCGCATGCGCAGACCTGCTTGTCGCTGCGATCTTTGACAGTTGTCAGGCTGAATCAGAGCTTGCATGTATACATACAATCTGTTCAGTCATATCTGACTCTCTGCAGTTGTATGGGACACCTCTCTGGGCACCATGTCTGATATGCTTGAGAGCCTTTTTCCATAGAATTTGCATGACAAAATTTTACAAGATAGGTCACTAGCAAGGACAAATCAAGGTTCAGCCCAAGCCTATGATAAACTGTCACATTATAGGAAGTCACCTGTGGCCAAGGAATTCCCTATTCCACAGCCGCAAAGGAGACGGGCTGTTGATGACATCGTTCAGCTATAATGGCCACATTGGTGGAAACACATGCAAATTCAATGCAGGTCATGTCCTGGTCAAGACTCAAACCATGGACACTAATGCTGCAAGGTTTAAGTACCAACCATTAAGCCACTGTTGTGCCCAAGTCAGAGCTTGCAGAGGGCTAAAGGTTCTTTTTGTTCTCCCATATAACAATGTTCTTACCTGCTCATTTGCCATTTGAACACTGAAGATTATGCTATACCCTGGAGTACCAAGCATTTTGTGGAACTCCAGTCTGCAAAAGGGGTAAGGGGGAGTGCAGAAATGGTAAGTATCTGAAGGTTGTTGAGGGGTAGACCATCAAACAAACCTGTGGTTTGGCACCTTTTGGGGGGGAGCAGCTGCTCCCACTTCTGGCTCAGTTCGCAAAGTGAAGTTTGGCTCCCTCCTTCCTCCTGCAGTCTCCGGGGAACCTTCACCTGCTCCCAGAAGACTTCTGGACCCACAAGCTGTCACAGCCTGGTGCCCACAGTTGTGATGCCAGCAGCGGGGCAAGAAGAGGCAGAGAAGGGATGCCGTGGATGAGCACATCGCTGGACCCCGGGACAGGTAAGTGTGTTTATTAAAAGTCAGCAGTTACAGTTTTTGTAGCTGTTGACTTTTTATAAACACAAAACTGACTGGAACTCTCTGACTGGAAGTGTCATTAAACACAAATCATGAAAAACTGTTGATACATGCTATATTACATTGTGTTCATACTCCCTCATCCACTAGAGCATTTGTTTTCTGTAGACTGCAAAAATCTTAGTTTATCCTGTTGTTTACTGTCCTTCCCCCCATCTCTGTGTCCCCGCTGCAGCCTGAGCTTGTATAGACCAGTTGCTAACATCTACTGAGTTAATTTGTTCTGTTTTCTTATCTGTGCAACCCATGTGATTATAGAGTGGGTGTATACACAGTTGTAAATGACACTGTTCCTCTATGTCCTCCTATTGCTAAACACTATGGGGGCAGGATATAAGAAGGTGATTGATGGAGGCTTCACCTCCCTGTTAGTCCCAGAACATACATATACACCATAGACACAGGCTGAAGGGGCATAACACATTCCTACAGATATCTTTACAGTATAAACAAAGTTAAACCTATTGTCACTCAATATTTGTTTGAAATATAGATTTGAATGAGTCTGTAAAACACGTTGCTATAAATAATTTATTTTAATTCTCTTTTCTGAAAGCCTTTATGTCATGTGACTGGCACAGCACCAATCAACATTCAGACACAGATTCATACATCAGCAGAGGACAGGAAAGACCTGGGAAACATCATGTGACCTCTGAACAACAAAAAATTAAAGAACAATTCTTTTATATCAAATTGCATACAGTGGCATGGTCCTCATACATAAATAGAAGGGATAATGGAAATTAAACATTGTATGTTTCGTATCACTTTAAGGAATGGGACCAGCTCAAAACCAGTGTATTGCTTTTGGGTAGCTTTACAGATTTATTTTGACTACCATGTCTGACTGTTACATTTTCTCCCATGTGTCTTAAAATATATCACGATTAAAAAACACATTAAAATTAATTTCATAATTCTGTATCCGAACACCAACAATGCAAGGTATTATTAATAGAATACCCTATTACTAAGACCTCTAAATAACTTTACCGATACCATAAACCTTATTCCACAGCTTATCTAGGCTTCTACCCCTGTGAGAACCTGATTTTAATGTAATTATGCACTCTCCCCAGGACATGGGTGATTTCTATGCATACAGCATAAAGATCCTTAGAATTGTATTATGCTTTATTCTGGGCAATATGCCAAGCATGAATGCAGCATAGATGTCATTGGTGGATATTTCAGGCAGTGTGGGCATACAGTCCCTCTTAATAGAAGGCTGAGCAAGTACAGAGAGAACTGTTTTTGACTGTTAGAAAATTTTGTACATCGTAAGTATGTCTATACACTTTACATGCTTTTTTTTTTTTAAAAGGAAGCCTTTTAAAACAAATATGAGGGCTGCCATAGCTGAAAATGCTAGTTGTCTGGTCGTTTTTAGCTTTGGTGCTTTCAGAGGCTCTGATATGGAATCAGTATGTAGCATGCAAAGTCAAACCTGCAAACAATGAATCCACAGGATCAGCATGACAAAGGACAAGCATATTTCCTTTACAGGAGCAAACTCCTGTAGGCTGTGAAGGTTACATGTGAGTTCCTAGCAGGCAAGTAGATTGTGCACATACAGCATTGAGTGGATGGAAGGTCATGCATGCGTGTTGCATGGAATTGCACTGTGTGTAAAGACTAGTCATATTCTACAGAAGCAGAGGCGGACTGACCATTTGGAAACTCGGGCACTGCCCGAGGGCCCAGGGTCAGTAGGGGGCCCCATGAGATGCCCCTGGTACCATTTTCATAGGCTTTTTTGAGTTTGGGCAAGGACACAGGAGCCCCATGATCCCCTATTGCCCGGGGGCCCCATGAGTTGTCAGTCCGCCCCTGGTAGGGGATCTCATTGCTGATCCCGGCTGAGAAAACTGATGACAGCTCTGTGTCTGCTCTGCTGCTGCAGGACAGACACAGAGCTGCTAGCTCTCCTCAATGGGACGGTCGAATGAAAATGGACAGCCTGTCCATTTTCATCCGACCCAATCCAACGGATGGAAGGGGAATTGGATCCCCATCTATCCCTTT